GCCGTTGGGAGGCTGAGGTGAGTGGATTGCCTGAGCCCGCGGGGTTCGAGACCCGCCTGGGCAGCGAGACCTCATCTCTACAATAAATCAAAAAATTAGCTGGGCGTGGTAGCACGTGCCTGTAATTCCGGATACTTGGAAGGCTGAGGCGGAAGGATCGCCGGAGCCCAGCAGGTCAAGGTTGCGGTGGCCGGGAGCGGCCACTGCACTCCAGTCTGGGCGACAGAGTGAGATTCCAATTCAAAAAAAAAAAAAAAAGAAAGAACAATGGGTTGAGAATCAGGAAACCTGAGGTCTAATTCTGTCACCAGCCTCCTATATAACCTGAGCAAGTAACATCTCTCCTCTGGGTCTATGTTCCAACTTGTCAAGTGGCAATGCCGCCTCAGACCACACCATCTGGAGAAGATGTAGGCACCATGAGATAACAGGCATCTAGGGCATGAGACTTTTAAGTAAACTAGTAATGTTTACTGAAGCTAATCATGGCTTTTATTGCATAGTCAGAAGCAAACCAGGGAAACCAACTAGAGGCAATGTCACAAAGACTCATGATAGCCCTGAAGAGCTAGAATAGTTTTAGTCTATAGATGCTGTACGGAGAAACTGGCTTGTCAAATCAGTGTCATGCAAAAAATAAAGGGGGAACAACAACAAAATCTGAACATAATCTCAGTTCAAATTCATCCACATAAAACTTCCTTCCCAGTCCCCCCAAACCATCTAACCCTCCCCAGCATAGAATTGATTAGGAGTGATTTTCCAATTAGAAGAGAAGGAAAAATGCATTTGATACTATCTGCTAGAGCAAATTTCTTTCTTCCCATGTAATGAAGTCTGTTGATAAGAGTTGAAAATTAAACTGTAGCTGAACATTAGAGGAAGAAACAGTGACAGCCCTGGAAAAGACCTTGTAACACTCAGCATTAAAGTAAATCCGGTGGAAAATGAGGTCCTGATGATCTACGAGAGCCCCAGGGAGAAGGACGTTGGGCTTACAGTGCACCAGCACATTTCAAAGCTCAGTGACTCAGGTGTGGTGGAAGTGAGAGCTGTAATTACATCCGCTGGAGGATGAAAACAACCCAGGGCTTTCTGGATTCACAGACCACTTAACCAGCATTTTATGCTTCGATACAGGAAAACAACCATGATCCACTGCCACCCTGAAGGCCAGGTTCCCAGTAACAGGGATGATAATAACACTAGGAGTTCTGGAGATGAAGCCCTCCAAATAATAAAGACGTGGACAGTTACAGAAGCCTGAGCTCTGCTTGTTTGTGTCTTAGTTATTCTCTACAAGAACTAAGGTCCTGAAATCCTAATCCAATTTCCTTTCCTAATTGTCTTCCATACTAACACATGAGAAGGTCGAACCTAGTTTGTGAGAGATAATGGGTCACTTTGTATAGTTCTGCAACATGTTCATCTGTCTTTTCTGTATTCTGGAAGCCTTCTATGGGCGTTTCTGCAATCTGCTGATGACAATGGGAACAGAGGTGGAGTAGTAGGAATGGAATGAGAGGCTGATCTTCCCACTTTCCTCCCTGCCTGCCTGTGACCTCACTTTCAAATATTTCCCTATATCTGTTAAAGGTCACAGCTGGACTTCTGCCACCACCTATGCTGTTTCACACTAAGGATCCAGAAATGTACAGTTTTTGCCTAAAATAAAACTTTAGCTTCAGAGATAAAGGTAAAGCCACACACCTCCTTCCCCTCTGCAACACCTTTTAGAAAACACCGTTTCTAAAATCCCCACCTATGACGCAGCTTGCTCTCAGGCTGAACCTGACCCCGATGCCCCTTCACTTCCCAGCACTTCAAAACTCTCAGTAGGTCACAGCTAAGAATGAATTATTAGGTAATGAAACAATAAAGCAGGCAGACGAGTTGCTAGGCTGCCTGGAGAGAGGAGGAGAAAATCTGGCAGAGCATCTCTGAAGGAGATTCATTTAGAGTAGTAATCACAGCTCTCGAATGACCAGCTCAAAGGGAAGTGACTGCATGAGGCCGGGGACAGAGACTGTGAGAGGCTCAGTGAAAATATCCACAAAAAACAAGACCTTCAATACCACAATTAAAAAGAAACAAGACAGACAGTGACCTTTTCATAGCAGCAGAGGGAGAATGCTGATTTACACCTTCTGCAAGGTGAAAAGGAGAAACAGCCCCCTCCACCGCTGTACAGCAGCTCACTTCTCTGTGCATGTATGGACAAATGTGCCAGCCATTGTTGCAAGTACTTTGCATGTATTACCTCATTTAATCACCTCAAAACCCCTAGGAAGTAGGTACTTTTGTTATCATTGTTTTATAGTCAAAGAAACTAAGGTCCTGGGGTTCAGTGATATGCCAAAGATGGTTGGTGGCAGAGCTCAGATCTGAATTGAGCAATACAGATCCAGAGATTCTTTTCACCTGCCATGCTTGTGGTATCAGTCTAGAAGAAACCTAACAGAAAGTCACTTTCAAAGGACCCAAGAGGTTGTGTCAGGAGCAGAGTAGGACCTGCCTGGTCAACGTGTCTAAGTCATGCTCTTGCAA